CCTCCAACCCTCTGCTGCTCCCCAGGCCCAGAGGATGTGCCAGACCCTGGCTTGCCAGACGCGCCAGGAGGTCAGCACTCCCACGAACCCAGTCTGACCCTCCAGGGACCACTGGCCGTCCACACCCAGGCTGCCCCTTCAGCCGGGCTGGGTCTCTAACTTACAGCCCCAGAGAGGACAGAGGAGCCCCGCCCAGAGCCCCTTGAGCAGCCGCTGCTGGGGGAGCTGACAGTGACTGGCGCCACCCGAGACGCCCTGCGCCTGTCCTGGACCGTGGCCCGGGGCCGCTTCTCCTCCTTCGTGATCCAGTACAAGGACGCACAGGGGCAGCCCCGGACAGTGCCTGTGAAGGGAGAGGAGAGCGCGGCCACCATCGGCGGCCTGGAACCCGGCCGGAAGTATAAAATGACCCTCTATGGCCTCCATGGCCGGCAGCGTGTGGGGCCTGTGTCTGTGGTGGCCACCACGGGTGAGTCAGGGCTGCAGCCCCCAGCCCGCCCCACCCCAGCCCCGCCCCCTGGCGGGCCCTGCTTCTCCACCTGCAAGAACAGCCCCTCTCCCATCCGGGCACATCCCTCCTCCTGCCCCTGCCCCCCTGGTCCTCAGCCACCATTCTTGCCCTGGGTGTGGGCAGAGCCTCCCCTTCCAGGGCCTGCTTGGGCCGTGTCTCTGAGCTTTCACTTCTGCCCACACCCTGACGCCCAAGGGACGAGAGCACCGCCCTGACCCCCAGCAGGTTCCACGTGCCCAGCCTCCCCAGGCGGCGCATTTCTGTGGTTGGGAGCCTCATGGTTGGGCATGGCTTTTGACCCCAGCCCTCCCATATGACCTCTCGGACCCTGTGCAGGTTACTGAGCCATTACTGCCTCAGCTTTCTCACCTGTCAGGTGGGGATGCTAACGGGAGCTGCTCACACAGTGGTAGGGTCCATCCAGCACGCAGAACAGTGCGAGCAACTGAGACCGCATCTCGGGGCAGCTGCTCCGTCTCCCTGACGCCCTGACTTGCCAGTATCCTTTCCCCGCTCCTCGTCCCTGCCTTCCCCATCCTCACCTGGGTTCCCATTCTTGCCTCCTCCCTCCTGCATCTACTTCCCTAAGTGTTCCTCCTGGACTGGGCGTGGGCCACAGAAGGGCTGGCTGCCCTTGTCCAGCCTCCCCAGTCCATGGAGCCCCAGCAAAGACCTAAGGACAGCTGACATGGGTCGGTGCCCTGGGGCTGCGATTCTAGACACAACCAGGGGAGAGCAGGACATTCCCCACCCCAAATCTCTCTCCCACTTTTGCCTCAAGTCCCGCCTAGCAACTCATTCCTAAGGGTCAAAGGGGAGGGAGGGCAGGGCCCCTGGGAGCCCTCAGCCAGGGCACATTCCATCTCTTGCCTGCTCCTGGGTGGGACCGGGCAGCACTGGGGCCGCAGGAGCCGAAGGGAGATGGCGGGCGGGAGAGGCTCACTGCCCCTTAGCACACGATGTCAGCACTGGGGTGACCTTGGGACACACCGAGGGTGTCTTCCCGACCAGCTCCTTTCTCAGGCACGAGGGACCCAGCCCACTGCCCACCAGCGAGTTGTCCGCACTGCGGCGGGGGAGGAAGGCTGACTGTGAGGGGTTGAAGGAGACATTGGAGGGACCAGAAAGAACTGGAGTTGGAGCCGCTGTGGACGGCAGATTCTGGTCCTTATTGCCTTATGTTTCCAATGGACCCCGTATGTGCTGCGCTGAGGGCTGAGGAGACCTCACCTGTCCCCCATGTCTCTGTCCAGCTCATCCAGCTCCCGACTACGAAGCTGTGACCACCCAAGTCCCACCCACCACGACCCCTGAGCCTCCCGTGAAGCCCCTGCTGGGGGAGCTGACGGTGACGGGATCCTCCCCGGACTCGCTGAGCCTGTCCTGGACCGTCCCCCAGGGCCAGTTTGACCACTTCCTGGTCCAGTACAAGAACGGGGACGGGCAGCCCAAGGCGGTGCGGGTGCCGGGACACGAGGACGGGGTCACCATCTCGGGCCTGGAGCCGGACCACAAGTACAAGATGCACCTGTATGGCTTCCACGACGGCCAGCGCCAGGGCCCCGCCTCTGTCACCGGGGTGACAGGTGAGTGGGCGGTGGGAGCCCCGGTGGGACCTGCGGGAGATGACACTCGTGATGGCTGAGGGGGTGCAGGGGCCCCTCTGCTCGAGGCTGAGCCGTGGTGCCCTTGTGCCTCCCCTGGGCTCCCTGAGCACCAGCGGGGCCCTGGCCAGAGAAGGGCCCTGGGCTGTGCGGGGGAGGCGGCCACAGCCGACCCGAGGCTCCTGAAAAACTGTAATTTAATTATTTTGGTGCTATAAGGTTCTCTTTTTATTAGCATTGGTCTGTGATTCTTGTAATTCTTTGGAAGTACATTGAATTTAATTACAAATACATAAGAAACTTTTTTTGTGTGTATATGTCATCTGGACTTTCTGTCTTCACTGGATGAAAGTTTATGCTAAATGATCCCAGATAAAGTGCCTGGATCGGCCTGCACGGGGGTCGGCGCGTGGGCCCCGCGTCCACCCTGGGCCTGACCGGTGAGTGGGGCAGGTTCGTTTTCCTCCCACCGGTGCCCCAGCCTCTCTGTGGTGGTGGCTGTCCTTGCCGTGGCCCCACCACCTTGAGGTAGAGGAGGAGGCGCAGTTCATAGGGACTGAGCTGCCACTAGCTGCACAGCCTTGGACCAGTTTTAAGCATCGGTGCCTCTGGGACCGTGCCCACCTCACAGGGTGCAGGGAGCTGGCAGCAGAAAGCCCCAGGAGGCCTGGCACGTGGAGAGCCTGCTGTCAGTGGCTGCCTCTGGCTGTTACACCTCCTCTGCCCCTTGGCTGCTTCACGGGCCGGAGTGCGTGAGGCCTGGGCCCCACCACTGGGGCGGAAGCTCTCGCCCCCGTGATCGCCTTTGCACCAGGAGAAGCCTCCCTCCTGGCTGCCCGGCCACCACGCAGGACCCAGCCTGGCACCTCCTCTCCGACAGCACAAAGGCCGTGGGCCCCGGTGGCTCTGGGACCCTCCTGCTGACCTGCCCAGCGTAGGCCCAGCGAGGAGTGCCCCCTGGCCTCCTGTTCGCTGAAGGAAGGATACGCAGTTCTGAAAACCACTGCTCCTCTCGGGAACGAGCAGGGTCGAAAGCAGAGGAACTGAGGTTTGAGCGAGGCTGATGTCCACAGAGCCCACCCTCACCATGACATGGTTGGCTTAGTTTCCAGAACCTTCCACTCCCGGCTTCTTTTCTTTAGTCGGCACTGAGAGTAGAGAGGGGAAAGCCAGGCTGAGTTACTGTCCTGCACGTAGCAGGGGGGAGGCCGTGCCAGGCCCAGGCGCGGCAGGTTTCTCGGGGTGACCCTGCCCTGGGCAGCCAGGTGGGCTCTGGTCCCAGGAAGGGTGGCCGGCTGGGCGCTGAGAGGGGCGGCAGAGGACATGGAGTTCTGGAATCTACCAGCTGATTTCCGTTCCGGCCTCGGGACTGAACTGTGAGGGCGCAGGGCGATCCCTGTCCGAGCAGGCGGGTGCTGGCGGCGCTGACCGAGGGCACCGTGCAGCAGGAGAAAGGCGTGTGGCGAGTTAGAAGCATTTCTACATTGGGAACGTGTTATGCCAAGTGCAGCCTCGGGGCTGCATCCCCGGCGGCGGGTATGACCCCACCTTCCCAGTGAGGCCAAACCACCAGCGAGGCTTGAGGCGAGGGCCAGTCCCTTTCTCGTGGAAAGACGCACAGAGAGAAGCGAGTGGAGCAAGGCCATGAAATGAAGCGCGCCCCTGCCCTCCCCACTCTGGCTCATCTCTCCCCAAGGCCTCGTTTTTATTTTATTTTTAATATATTTTATTGATTTCAGAGAGGGAGGGAGAGGGAGGGAGGGATAGAAACATCAGTGATGAGAGAGAATCATCGATTGGCTGCCCCCTACTCATCTCTACGGGTATCGAACCCCGACCTCCTGGTTCATGGGTTGACGCTCAACCACACGTTAACTTAGCCAGCGTGTGGTGACCCCCTGGTGCGGGGGCACGGCCAGGGCTCCTGCTGCTGAGCCCCGTGCCAGCGGGGGAGACCGCACCGGGCACAGCCCCGTCCGCGGTGCCACATGACAAGCGCAGGGAGCCAGCCGCGCCCGGGAGGCGAGTGATGGGAAGGTGGTGGGAGGGCCCAGCTGAGGAAGGTGGACCAGCACATGCCACCCAGGCCCTTGGAGACGGCACTTCGGGCAGAGGGAAGGACCGGCGAGGAATGTTCCGGAATTGGGGGGGCACGAGGTGGACATGCAGCCTGGAGGCCGCCGTCAGGGCGTGGCTTTGCTCTGGATGCGATGGGCGCCTCTGACCGCCTGCTAATGGTGGGAGCGGCGGAGGGTGAGGGC